TAAACCAATGGAGGCTGGTTTAGCGAGTTGAGCCGACAAAATCCAAAATGTACAGTTTGCACGCAAATGGAGCTCATTTTAATAAACTATATTAATGCCGAATCAACAAGGGGACTTTGGCCATATAACACATTTTATTTTGTGTTTCTACATTCATGTGTTATTGCGGACACGTAAGGAGTTGTTAATATGTCATATATCTTAAAGGGAATTTGGCGTGATATTTCCCCTGGAGAGCGCAGGGACCATTAGTTTAATTCAATAATAACACAGTTAAAATTTCAATTATATCCATTTTTTTTTAATTTTTCTTCTTTTTATATCATATCAACAATACATTCAATTGTTGAATTTCCAGCATCAGAATCATTTTGGTACAAAAATGATCCATCTGATTTTGAGTTGCCTATTTTAAACAGTGAGGTAACGGTAAGACAAGCTTAAGTGTGGTACAGTAGTTGGTAACAAACTTTAGAAAAAGACACAAAGGTCTGAAAACAGGGTTGGTCCACACAATATGGTGCTGGTTTACATTCATTACATTTCAAAAAGTCAGAGCACACTTTAGTTTCAGGTCTGTTAACACATTATGCCACTCTAAAATCGTATTGTGCTGGTTTAAAACAATTTTAAGAGGCTGTGTGCAGCTATAGTCATGGCAAATACTGGCTTCTGTACACCACAATTTAAATGACAGTATAAAAAAATAAGATCACATTTATTTAAACACCAAATTTTCACATTACACTTGTCTGACAACTCACTGCTATAGGAGTACAATGGAGTCTGCTGGACTGTCTGCCTGCATATACACTAGTACCAAAATCTGTGTTGGTACAATAATGTGCCAGTAATACTTGCCAGCTGATAAAAAATAAATAAGTATAAATCTGGAAAAAAGAAAATCCAACCCTGACCTTTAATTTGACATATAATCCTGAAAACACAGTTTTAATACTGTAATAACAATAATACACAGTTTATAGGCCAACCTTTGTAAAGAACCAACATGCTGACAAGTGTAAAGTGGCTTCATTCAATGAGCGCAACAACATGAAAATGTAATGACTGGCAATGGATCTCACATATGCGTGAATGAATATACATACATCTACTGCCTCTAGATGTAACTTGCTGATGAACCCGTGGACTAACAATCTGGATGGAGTGTCTTAATTTAGTGAACAATAAAAAGCAACTGAATACACTCTCATTAAAAAGTGAGATTTGCCAAATGTCACCACTCATACATTTATTTGCATTCTAACTCAACAGGAGATTTTTAAGACTTTGCAGTTTCGGTGTGAGTTTGTCCTCTCCCAAGCCAAGCATCACTCTTTGTGTTTTTCATGGCTTTAGGGTAGTCCAAATGTAAAGCATACGACAGCCCAAACAAGAAAGTGCTTCAGGTAGGTTCTGGAGATTATCCATTACAATACCTCCTTCAACAATGATGGCATTAGACACTGGGTCAAGGTGGAGCTGATTCGGAGAGAGTTGCACATCTTCAGGGACAACAGTCAGCACCCCCACAGATACTTATGCGCAGGTCTCATCACTGTCACAATCCTGTAATGAAACCAAACAAAAACATTACAACAGAAATGTTGTGCATTGTCAATTCGAAATTGTCACCATGTCATCTGTCCCGCCGACACTGCCTTCCAGCCTTGCGCATTACGTTTTCACTTGACATCCACAAGTGTTGATAATAGTTTTATCAACATAAGTAGGCCTAAAACATTTTATGATCAATTTACAGGTGTCTAATAAAGAACATGAAAGAAGTCTTCCTCACATTCAATTAAGCATTATTACATTATTACAAGGTGTGCTTTACCGTCATTATTGTCACGACAGTGATGCGGTCAGGAATGAGGCGCTTGCGCCGACTTCCGTGGAACGTAAAAAGTATTGTATTATTATATCAGTGGCATAAAATGGTCTTAAAATGACAATTATATTGTTAAATGCAATTATTTTTGGGACAATATGTTCAACAAAAGTAGTTATCATGATCCGTCATAGCACTTGGGTCTGTGCAACCTTTAAAAAAATGTTTGTTTTTTTAAATCAAAATGGCACGGGACATCCGAAAAGTTGCTGACCCCTGCCTTACACCAAATCTATATCAATATAAAAAAACATTTAAGATTTTTTGAGGCATTTCTGCTTTATTTGATAGTGACAGTAGAGAGACAGAAAAGGCAGGGGAGAGAGAGGAGGTGACATGCACCAAAGCGCTCGTTCCAAATTAGGGATGCACTGAAATGAAAATTTGGGGCTGAAGCCGAATAATATTAAACGCTTGGCCGAATACCGAGTACCGAATACCGAATATCGTTGTTTAGTTTTTCATTAGTTTTTGCAGATGAACCCCCTCCAGATTAGTGTTGTCACAGTACCAAAATTGGGACCCACTGTGCGATACCAATGAAAATATCACGGTTCTGAGTAGTATCAGGATACCACAGCAAAAATGAGGCAGATGTGCCTTTTGTTATTTATGAAAAGATAAATCACTTTTCTATAATACATCAATGATATTTCAATGGAATAAATTACTTATTGACTTACTCATACTTCAAAAACAGCATCAATAAGTGATTAACATAGGGGGGGTCAAAATAAAATAAATAAATAAATAAAATCAGAATCAACCAGCCACCGTCCTCCCCTGACGGTTCCTTCATAAGTAAAGAACAGTCCCTAAAATGCGGGGGAACTGCCCATTGGCCTGACAGCCCATTGTTCCGATCATATTAAACCCATTGTTCCGAAGTCCGTTCTGAAATCATCATGATGCCCTGTGGTTAAGGTCTGGTTAGGTTTAGGCACAAAAACCACTTGGTTAGGGTCAGGAATAGATCATGGTGTGGGTTAAAATGAAAAAGAAAGTGACAAACACATAAGCCGTGAGCCTGCTCCGCCTCAAGCCTTTCCCAGCTGACCCAGAGCCAGTCGCGGCACACCATACGCCCGCCGCGAGCCGTTCAGCACCGGGGACAGTCAGACTAACGGGATGTCGAACTAATGGGCTGTCGGACCAATGACATGGACCCAAGTGCGGTGAGGTTTGTGGGCCGTTACCTGCCACAATGACAGAAATGTGAACGGCTCATTTCTCCTCTGATACGCTACATACCTGTGTTCGGCTGGCTCGGCTGTTCAGGTACTACTGGGCAGTCATGACGCCAAGAAGAGGAGATTACTGGAGCCGACTTCTCCGTTGCCGAAGGTAACCCCATGGCCGCCGTATTTGACAGGAATACATTACTGTCTGCGTCTGTGACCCCGGTTCAACCCACAACCGGTGGGATTCGCCTATCGTTTCTGCTGGTGGTTGAAATCTGTACTCACACAGTGTGCTGAATGATTTAAGCCTATTTTGCTCGCTCAAAACTATTTTTTGTTGCAAATGCGAGTGTGGTGATGGATGGATCGCCACACTGCTGACATTTTACTCCGCCCGTCACGGCACCCTGTTTGATTGCGTTATCAAAACACGCCGCTATTATTCGGCCTTGCTTTTAACTTATTCCACCGAATACCGAATGTGTGTTTTTTTTGCAATATTCGGCCGAATATATTCGGTTACCGAATATTCGGTGCATCCCTATTNACAGTACAGTAAACTTGTAGATAACTCAAATATATGTAATAACTTAGGTGGAAAATGCTTTAACATTTCATGCAGCCTACATGCAGCCTCTCGGCTCAGCAAACGGTTAACAACCCTGCTGGCTTCTCTACGTGTCGCTTCCGTATGCAGTCAGTGGAGCCCCAATGAATACGCCGCGACGCTACGCTGATGTGACGCTTACGTTTGCAGCTGGTGGAGCCCGGCCGTAAGGTTCTGCTCGTTAGTAATTAACTCTGACGTTGGATGTTCACTCCTTCACACAGATGAGTATTGAAAAATATTTTTAATACGCCGCCCCCCCCGGACCACACCACCACAAATAGATTCCTGTCCTGTGGGAAACACTGCTGTGTATTTTATTTTGAAAATTAATCGGATGTTTTATTGTGTTTCTGTGCACGACTTCCTGCCCCGCACGATCTGCTCTGTGCTGAATTGCTGCCGTGCCGGAGCGGAGACGCAACCAACACGCATCTGGTGGAAATTGGCCGTCACACACAGCACACCTCCCCTACACACACACGGTCACTGCAGCTGTGCCCCACTCCGCTGACACACACATGCACACACACACACACACAGTGACAACCTCTCTGTCAGTCACTCACGTTTGACAGATCACGTCTCATTTCTCTTCAATACCGGTTAGGTTTTCTTCAGCTCGCTCTTACATCGGTTTGTAATTACTTATAAGGCCCGTTTCCACTGAAGAAGTTCCTGGTACTATTTGGGGGGCAGGAACTACTACAGGAACGTCCTCTCGCTTGGCACTCTCAACCACCATGTCTCCACTGAGAGAGCGGAGTACGAGGAAGGTTCCTGTAAAGTTACGGGCTCTGGATGTAACGTAATCGTTGCGCGACCATTTTGACCGGGGCGACGTAGGGACGCCGTTAGCCGATAGCGGTGTCTGTAATAACTCACTAAATGGCCCGTGAAGAAAATATTTTTTTCAGCGGATGTCTTAGTTACAACATGATTGAGCTAAATGGAGTAGTTTCATGTCGTATTCGACAACAGGAGGCTTTTAATAGATGACGTCCTGATGTTAGCTTTGATGCTGCTGTCAGCTGTCCCTGTCAGCTGATGCTTTCTAGACATCGTGATTTCCCAAAACTGAATAAATACCACACATAGCAACACAAAACTGCTTTGCTAGCTCAATCATGTTGTAACTAAGATATCCGCTGGAACAAATATTTTTTTCACNGTATGTACATGGTCTTGTATTTAAATAACTCAGTTTTGGAGATGAAAGGTGTATTCCTCTCACTTCACAGGTGCTAGGCTGGTAACCCTGTTGGCATATACCGAACTGTTAGTTAGCAAGCAGCCCATAATGTTTGTACTGAAGTCATGGATATATTCGGCATTACATTTTTTTTTATCTCACTCTCAGTGAGATACTGGTAAATACAAAGCTAATTCCCTCAGAACTGTGTGTGCTCCTTTAAGATGTAACTATCAGAACTTATGAAGCAGGTGTTGTAGAAGTCACTGGGGTCATCACCAAGTAGAACAGGGAGGCCTCGGAGTACAATGGTGCCCATTGCCGTTACATCTGATTTCTAGAAGTGGATGATGAACAAATTAAGCTCAAGATAATGCAGCATTCAGAAGTTACAGTACAAAAATGTTCGTGAAAGTCTATATGAAACAAGTGTCACCACATTGTTTGACAGTGCAGCAAACAGTTACTGATTGGAGAATTGATTTTTAAGAAAAAATCCAAAGCTTTAACAGTGAATAGCAATATAAGTTCTATAGGGGTTGTAGGTTGTACTTATATTGTATCTTATACTGTATATTTCTTGGGACACGTTACTGTTATGTCTGTTACAAGTAAGAAAGATAGTTCAGAACAGATACTGTACTGTAGGGCTGAACGATATATCGTTATCGTATCTATACCGAGATATGAACATGCAAGACATTAATATCCCAAAAGGCATCGATATTGACGATATAATTTCCCTGTGAGTTTCCCCAGCTTGACCTGCATGTACAGCTCAGCCAATCACAAACATCCTTTTACGCTTGCCTTGGATCGACAGCAAAACCAGCCAAACACAAACATCCCCTTGAGCGAGGGAGACGTGCTGCTCCTAGCAACTTGCTAGTACACACAACACATTTGCGACTAAAAATAGTTTTGTTCGAGCAAAATAAATCATTCAGCACGCTGTGTGAGCACAGATTTCAGCCAGCAGCAGGAACGAAAGGCGAATCTTACCAGTTGTGAGATGGGAATACGGCGGAGCGCTATGGCCGCCGCAAGACAACGCGGTTTACCGGGGTTTCGCCGTATGTGAAGAGCCTGGTGACGCGAGGCTACCGGCGACCGAGAAGCCCGGCTCCAGGTGAATAAGTTGGTGTCATGACTGCCCAGTAGTACCTGAACAGCCGAGCCGTGGCGGCACACAGGTATGTGACGTGTCAGAGGAGAAACGAGCCGTTCACTTTTCAACAAACCTCACCGCACTTTAGGGACTGTTCTTTACTTGTCAGGGGAGGAGGGTGGCTGGTTGATTTTTATTTCATTTATTTATTTTATTTTGATCNTCAGGGGAGGAGGGTGGCTGGTTGATTTTTATTTCATTTATTTATTTTATTTTGATCCCCCCTATGTTACTCACTCATTGATGCTGTTTTGAAGTATGAATAAGTCAGTAAGTAATTTATTCCATTGAAATATCATTGATGTATTATAGAAAAGTGATTTATCTTTTTATAAATGACAAAAGGCACATCTGCCTCATTTTTGCTGTGGTATCTTGATACTACTCAGAATCTTGATACTTTCACTGGTATTGTACCGTGGGTCCCAATTTTGGTACCGTGACAACACTACCAAGTGCTGTATGAACAGTGCCTTGCAATAAAAGACACGACGGGGACATCTGGGGCCTCCTGTGTCAAGCCCAAGCAAGGTTGGATTGCCGATGCATTCAGTAGCATACTGCCATACCAATCGACGTCCAGCAGGCACAATGACATTACAAACGCTATAATGTACCATATTGCTACACATGATTCCCGTGTATTCAGTCACTAAAGAGAGCTTCCAGAAAATGGTTCGGACTCGTTTTTTTAAATTTTTTTTTATAAAGAATGCTTAGTTTTTGCTGAACCCATAGTTATATCGTATCGTATCGGTATCGAGATATCTGCCATAAATATCGAGATATAAAATTTTGTCCATATTGTTCAGCCCTACTGTACTGTTAAGTTGAAGCACTGATATTTCAAGAGTGTTAGTGAACTGTTAAGTTAAAGTGCTGGTATTTCCTGACTGTCGGTGACCACGTCATGTTCAGTGACTCTGCAGCTAGCCCTTCACTCCTCCCCCTCCCCCTCGTCCTCTCCTGTCCACTTCTGTCAGTGAGTGTGTGTGTCGCTGGGTCGAAACTACTTCAAGAAAAAGAGGATTAAGAGCTATTTTCGGACTTTTTCCACAGCGGTTACGTTGTAAATATACTAATAAACATCGTCTCGCCTGGATCAGCAGCAATCATAATGAATGCTGTAAAACCGCAAATTAAAGCCTCTGGCTTATAAAAGGGGCCGGCTCTTATTTATTAAAAATTGTTTTAGACCCAGCTACTAAAAGAGGCCGGCTGCTAATAAGCGCCCAGCTTTAAATTGAGGAAATACGGTAATGGCATTATAACCATGAAAAAGGTAGCATCCCCCCCAAAAAATACTACTGGTGCCTCTCCAACCATGTCCCATCTTCTCCCCCCTAACCACTGTTGTTGCAAAAAAAGCCGCAAAACAATCATTATTTGAAGTCAACGTACCATGAGAAATAAAGACCGAAGAAGCCTTTCATAGACTTACCCCTGAATCAATTTGTTGCACCAGCTCAGTCAGGGTCTCTCCCACACTTCCTTTCTTGGACTTGAAGATCGTGACAAGGCGTGGTGTGTGGCGGTCCAGGGCATCAAAAAAGTCCATCTGTAGGTTTTTGGTGACTATCCTGTTGAACTCTGCAAACACCTACAACACACAGCAAAAAAGCACAGTGGTTGGGCCAGTGTGGAAAAATACCTTCAAACTGTTAATAGTTTAATTGCCAAATACAACAGTAATTTGCAGATCGCCATTTACTAGTGTTGCACGGTACACCGGTACTAAAATAGTACCGCGGTACTAGAGTATTCCAAACGGTACTATACTGCATTTGGAAAATACCGGTACTTTGAAATTGATTCAATTCATTAATTTAGTTAATTTATTTGACTCATTTATGCACACAAACGCCTTTCTTGTTCCTACTGGAGCACAGATTGCACAAGTGGTGTATATGACAACACCTGTATCAACATTCGCAGCTGGTGCACATCAAAAAAGACAAGAGAAACTCTGCCTCGCAAAGGGAGACAACACAAGACAAAACCAACTTGGTGAAACATTTGAGCAACCATACCGTGACGTCCGTACCGAGGTACTTTGGAACCAAGATTTTTTGGTACAGTTACATCCCTAGTAGGGCTGTCAACGAATATTCTAAATTCAACTTTAAATTCGAATTTGAAAAAAAAAAAGGACCTTCGAATGTGAAAATTGATATTCGATTGTGGAGGAAAAAAAAAAAAAAACACCACCGCAGCTGTCCTCTTTGCGAGTGGGCGTTGGCCTGGGCCAGACGCTGAAACGATCGAGCTGGCCACAGAGCTGCGAGGCGCAGCGCAGCCAGTGTGGATGACACAATCGGTTAACATGGGCGCCGAAAGGAAACCGGCTTTGCTTCTCAGCACTTCGAGGCTGTTCGCAGCGCTTCCACGGGCGGTATGGCCTGACGGAGGGCGAGCGAGAGGTCCGCGGTCGTTTATAACGTAATGTTATAGATAATTGTTTTATGTGTTTTAATGTGTAGGTATGTAAATGTTTTCAAAGACNTTCATTATGCTGTCATTGTGAACTGACTCTCTACAATGACAGCATCATGAATAGCTGCATTGATGATGTTAGACAGTGGCTTCCGGTAACTGATGAAGGTATTTTAAATGAGTACCGATATTAATTTAGAAATGAATCATTTGTTTGAGCGATAAGCAGGAGAGATTAGAGTAATAGGGAGATAATAGACTGTATCATTATACACTGTGTAATATTACGTTAGCATACGTTACGTGTGCTGACGTTAGCAAGCTAGCAGCGTGACATTTAATCATTATGGACAGGCTACGTGACCATCACATCATATTGAAGGCGATCGCCTTCAATATGATGTGATGGTCGTCTAAAAGGCGGTGTAAAATTTGACCGACCCATCCGTAGCTCAGGTAATTTTGACCCTCAGTCAGAGACCTGTAACTGCCGTTTTTCTGGTCATCAGAGGCCAGGCGATCAATAAAATATTCTTGAATAGCTACCTAAAACAAAACACAAACACGTCTTGTTGTTTTTAATCACGTAGCCTGTCCATAATGATTAAATGTCACGCTGCTAGCTTGCTAACGTCAGCACACGTAACGTATGCTGACGTTATATTACACAGTGTTTAATGATACAGTCTGTTATCTCCCTATTGCTCTAATCTTTCCTGCTTATCGCTCAAACAAATGATTAATTTCTAAGTTAATATCAGTATTCATTTAAAATACCTTCATCAGTTACCGGAGGCCACTGTCTAACATCATCAATCCAGTTATTCATGATGCTATCATTGTAGAGAGTCAGTTCACAATGACAGCATAATGAATTGATGACTGACACGTCACCGCAGCAATGGCGCTGCCGCAAGATGGCGGCATACACAAGTCGCTCGCCGAATTCGTCTATAGGCACCTTTCAAAGCACTTGAAGGACACTGTAAAACAAGAAGTTAAAAGAACAAGCAGCAATTGCAGACATTATAAAATCAAACAAATATACAGGTATATGTATGTATTACACACACACACATATATTTTTTTTTACACAATGGTAATAATAATAATAATAATAATTTTGAAAATAAAAATAACCATTATTTTGATTTATTATTATTATTTATTGATATTTTTATGGCATAAAAAGGAAACAGGTTTTTCTTAAGTTATCTAGCTTTTATTCAAAACACACTTTGAGAGGACTGAATTTTAAACCTTTTTCTCTGTCAGTTTTCTATTCATTATTTATCTATGTCATCAATACTATTCTCATAGGTCCACCAATAATAGACTGGCTTCATGTCCTATGGCAGGGCTTGACGCTAACTTTTTTCCCAAGGAGCACATGTGCTCCTAAGTTGAAAAAGTAAGGAGCGCACAAAGAACTTTAGGGGCACAATGTAAATTGATCAAATAATGTGTTTTCCGTAATAAACTTGATGCAAATAGACATTTACAAGCAAAATTATTTAATGAATTTGTATACAAAACGTACAGACAGGTAAAATCATCAAGTTTTGAAAAAGTATTGCAATTTAATTTTGTCTTTAATGTTATTATCTTATATATATTATCTTTACAATATGATTATCTTATATAATGTTATTCCTATCCTAAAACATTCTCCAGGTCCTCTGAAACTCTGCAGGACTGACTGTGCGTTCACACCAAACGCGATGGATGTGATGAACGCCACAAGTTTCCATTCAAAATCAATGTAAATGACGCGATGACACGCGATGTCGCTTCGGGCGACGCGTTTCAGGTGATAAGAGCGACGCGATGAAGCGATGACGCGTCCATCTCCTCATCGCGTGTGTCCCTTGAAGTTGAAAAATTTGAACTTTTCAAGCAACATCGCGTGACGCTGTGCCGCGACATCCAATCAGTGTTGATATCCAACCATTCATAAAGAAATTATAAGCAACTAACCGGAGACAGATGGACAGGCGCTCCGCAGCTGGGATGGAGCGCCTGTAGTTGGTGTCCAGGCGGGAGATCCTCGCACCGATACGGGCCAACAGGTCCTCAAACTGGGCCAGCGTCAGCCTGAAGTACCGCTGGAAACGACCGTCATCCAGACGCAGCTCTTGCAGGAGGTGATGATATTCACCCAGCTGTGTGCGTTTCTGGAGGATATTGTGAACCCAGACACGGC